TGTAGAGAGGGTTTGTACGGTTGCTGTTACTGGGAGGTTGAGTGCAGTGGGGACATTTGGGCTGTAGCAGTTTGTTACAAAGGAATTGATCGTAAAGGAAGAAGTGATGCTTGTAGACTTGGCTCCAACAAAAAATCTTGGAGATTGTCCCGCTATCAGCAGAATGCCCATTTCATACATAATAATAAAGAAGTCTATATACCTGCTGTCCGCTCCTCTAGAATAGGAGTGTATCTGGATCACAGAGCAGGAACTCTGTGCTTCTACAGCGTCTCTGACACAATGACTCTACTACACAGAGTCCAGACCACATTCACTGAACCCCTCTACCCTGCATTTCTAACTGGGAAAGGTTCATCTGTCAGGATCATAGAGCAGAGAAAAGTTCAGATAGACGATAAAAAAACATAATTGTTCAAGGTTCAAATTCAGCTGCTGAAATCCTGAAATGTGTAGTTTGGCTGAACAAAAGACATACAATTTCTTGAACACCAACAATAAATACACAACACACACCTGAGACTGTCAAACTGGATATCAGTAAATAAATCTATAGTACGTTATCAGATGTTCCAAAATCAGGTGTTATAAAGATTTTGTGTCTTCTGTAATCTGAAAGTGCTCATCTTCGGCAATATTTCTGTAGCTCATTATAATAATAATGTCTGAATCCATGATGCAGTTCATCATTAAGCCAGCAAGGTGTCAGGGTTAATATGTAAAAGAAAACTGGTCGTGGAAACTATTAGACTGCGTTTACAGGTTATGCTGTTGACAAAATAATTATATTTTACTTCACACATGTATTATTATTAAATGTAGCAGCATTTTGTGTGTGTGTGTGTGTTACCTGTTAATTTAGCAATTTCTTTCTTTATAAATGATTTCTTTAGAGCTTGGACACCTGAGTTGACTTGATTCTTTTGCTATTTCATAACTACAATATCCAATAGTGTTGGCAAAAAGCTGAGAAATACCTGTAAACCCTTTAAGAAGAGGCATAATCTTTAAAGATTCATCTTTATATTGGTTTTTCTTTGGTTTAATGTATAATTTATACTGTAATGTGTAATAAAATAAAATAAAAAATCGAATGAAATCATACATTTGTATTTATAAAATAGCGGTTTTAGGAAATATTTTGTCTGAAGAATCTGTGTGATATTGTCGGTTTTCTCCACAGCAGCTGACTTACCTAATTTTCTCTCTTTTTAAACAAGACATGTTTTCTGTGTAGGTTTGCCAATGTCATTGTGTCCAGCCAACATGAAATCACCAATGATTTAATCATATTACACACAGATGGTTGGACGATTAGCAGCAGTTAAAACAAATAAAAAAATTTGTATGTTATTGGACACCATTCTATTGTGCAGGAGCGACTTTAACTGCTACCTCGTGAGGTTGTACTATACTATGGGAGAATATCTTAATTTACCGTTGTCGTTACTACGTGACAGATAAGGTAAGTAAATGTTATGTTTTAAGGTATAGGTTTGATTACAGTAAGTTGTCGTTTAATGCCAAATCAACCCTTTTCTTGCTTTTTTAAATGACATTTTTTGTAGCTTTGATAAGTGGTTGCATGCTCCATTCCGCTGCTTCTTAGTGATTTTTGCGTTCTTTGGCTACTGCAGTTGGTGTGTCGAGATATAGCAAACCAGGAAGTGTGTGGATTCAAGAGAAACGAAACCAATTTCCCTGCTACAGGAGCCTCTGGATCCACGCTCTTCTTGTTCGCTTAAAGCTGTAAGGAGGCAATATATTTGAATTTTATTTGGAAAAAAAGGTAAGATAATCAAAAACAGGTAAGAACATAAACGTTAAATAATGGTTTTACCAATGTTTTTTCCTTGCCTTGAAAAAAATGCATGAAATTAGTCTTCTACCGTAGGCCTGTATGTTTAATAATAATACTATGTTAGTCTCGATGTCATGTTTATTCTTTTGATCACGGGTGAAGCGCTAAGGAGTATTCTTTTATAATGATACACAAAACTTTAAGCAATTTGTAGATTTTTAGACGTGCTTATTCATTAATGATTTACATGTGGATTTACCTTCTCTTTCTTCAATGATTTACTTCTGGCAGAGCAGTTTCTATTAGAGCTATTTAAACTATCTCCAAAGAAATGGCCGAGTCTGCAGTGAGTCAGTATGAGGATCAGTTCATCTGTTCAGTCTGTTTGGATCGGCTGAAGGAGCCGGTGACGATTCCCTGTGGACACAGTTACTGTATGAGCTGCATTACTGACTGCTGGGGCCAGAAGGAGCAGGAGCCGCCGTACCACTGTCCCCAATGCAGAGAGAGCTTCAGTCAGAGACCTCTACTGAAGAAGAACACTCTGATAGCAGAGATGATGGAGACGCTGCAGAAGACGTCTCTACAAACGGCTGCTGTGGAGTGTGATGTTTGCACTACGGAGAAGAGCAGAGCTGTAAAGTCCTGTCTGCAGTGCTTGGCCTCCTTCTGTCAAACTCACCTGCAGC